CTAATCAAAAGAGATCAACTTGATCTCTGGTTATTGTTTTTTAAAAAACCCTTATGCAAAAAGCTATTTAGTTGTCGTTCTAGAAAATTTAAATTATTGTTATTATAATTTTGTCTTTTGAATAAATTAATTGCACGATGGAGCTCCAATTAAAATTTAACTTTTCACCAAATAAAAAAAAGTTGTATTTTAAATTATCTTCTTCACTCAATATATTTGAAGTGATTGGAACGAAAAGAAAATATTTAAATAATTAAATAATTAAATTGGTTTTGCTAACACGTGCTACAGTATTGATTAAAGTAGTTTTCTTTAATTTAAACATAAACCGTTTATGAAATAGAATAGACATATGATTGAGCACAAATTTGATATCCAGCTACCCTCAAGTGAGAAAACAACTAAGATTCTATTAAATATCTCACTTAAACATAAAAACATTTTCAAATAACTTAATTACATTAATTTGTACAAATAAAAAAGACTAATCTTTCAAGTCCATCTAAATAAAAAAAGTGAAGTGAATTATTTGTAGCTGATTTAACATTATTAAACACTTGTAACATAGGTTTGGAGTTGTTCTCGTTTAGTTGATTGTAAATTGTAATATGAAGGAAAAAAAAAAGAGAAAAAATATAAATTTTAATCTAAACTTACCGAGGATATCAATTTTTACTCTATACTTTCAATTCCATCATTGCACCTTAAATTTAGATAAATACTGCAATTGCCACCTTGAAGTTTAAAAAGTGTTAAATTTGCTAACTTTTTCATTTGAAAATTTGTTCAGAAAGTGCTCGATATGCGTTAGATGAATTATAAGACGTATTGACTGTGAAATAGATAGACAATAAAAATAGTTTTTTAATATTGAAATTTGTAGGTTTCAATGGGGTAATTTTTTTGAGAATTTTTAATTTTGTAAATATTAGTAGGTAAGTTAGTGGAAATTGAATATAAAGGTTGAATTCAAAGTAAAAGGAGAGATTGGTAAAAATGAAAGAAATTGGAATTTATCTTTCTTTTTAATATTAATATTTGTTCGGGCCCGTGGGAAGAACGTGAGGGGAAAGGAAAGGGATTGAAAAAAGTGGGACCACCACGCGTGACTTAGGCGCTTTGTTAACTAACTTTATAATCGTGCTGCCCAGCGCCCAATAGGAAAGCAGTGCGGTTACAGAGAGAGAGAGAGAGAGAGAGAGAGAGGCCACGATTAGCGTATGATTCTAAAACTAAAATATGAATTGAATTGGATTGGATTGGGAGGATTTTAAAATAATTAAATATATAATATATAGTTTTATAGGATACGTATGGGCAAAAATACGGTGCGGCGCATGTACATGATATCATACTCATGGGACCACAGGATGAGGAACGCGTGTCGCTTCTTTCGGCGTATCAGAGTTTGCGCCAAAAGCAGAAGCGACATTCTTATTGGAAAGTGGGACCTCGTGTTTCCTCATTAACGCTATTTCCACTCCCACTTACCCAAAATACCCATCATTCTTTTTTCTTTTTTTTTTTTTTTAAATAACAATTTTATTTATTTTTCTTTACCTATCAACAGTCAATACACATCTAAATAAATACCTTCCTTGAAGGATTAAATGAAAAAAATAGACAAGTTTAATTTTATTTTTCGAAACAAGACCTAAAAACACATTTTTGTAATTTTGTTCCTTAATCACCTAACAAGTTTGACAGAATGTACTCTTTGTCTTTGTCTCCTCACTGGGGCTAATTCCTTACCAAATTGCTACCCCTACAATTTATTATATTACCTTTCCAATCATCGTCTTTTACTATAGGATGAGGTAATTTTATTTTACTATTATATTTTAAAACTTATCTCCTATAAGAGGACACATTATCATCATCACTTACAAACAGTATATTCCTACTCTTTGATACCTATCTAATTAAACGTAACAACTAAAGTTTAATTCATGAATAACCATATCATTTTATTTTAAGGTTATGGCAACATTTTAGTTCTTATGGTTTGAATTTAATTTTAATTTGATTACCATAATTTTAAAATTTTTATTATAGCTGCAGATAGTTTTATAATATTTAGTAATAATGACATGGATGTTTAATAAGGACTATTATGAAAATTACAAAACTGGTAGAATGAACTAAAACTATAGATTAAACTGCAGTAATAATTTAACCTTACCTAACTTCCTGTATTTTTTATCCAACTTAAACCTAAATATTGAATATCACTTTTTTGTTTGTCTCGTTTAAGAGAAATTGTCGGGTAAGAAAACTATTATCATTAGATAACACAATATGGAATGTTTTTAGTCATTTTAAACGATTAAGAATAAAACTTTTAAAAATATAAGAAATCAAGTTTAATTAAGATTAAAATGACAATTTAACCCATGTTTACTACAATTTTCATATTGAAGAGAAAATGGTCAATATTTGCTCATAATAATTAAAATAACATTTATCAGTTTCCATTGACCCTTAATATAAGTCTCTATATAAGTCCTCTTCCTTCCAAAAAAAAAAAAATGACTTCGTAACTTTTCTTTCTGAAATTATCAATAAGAAAAAAAAGAACTTAAAAAAGGAACGTACACTACACATAATTTGTAAATAATTACTGTAAGTGAATAGTAACAAGATAAAAAATGAAATAAAATAAAAAAAAAGGTAAATACATAACTGTTGTAAAATCAAAAAGAGAGAAAAAAAAACAGTTATGCTTCTATAAAAAGATACGCATGCACTTTGCTCCCAAATGAACAGTGTGACCAACGTGTGGCTCAAAAAATGTTTCCAAGACCAAGCAAGAAAAAATGAAATACCATATGAAAACGTAAATAAAAATATATATCAAAATTCGACTTTCTTAATCTTTTAAATCTGGTAGGTTTTGGGGTTGGCTTGGAGTGAGTAAAAAGGCTACATATATTATAGATATAGAAGGCAAATCTTGAAAGACACTACTCGAAACAAGTAAAAATAGGCAAGATTAAAAAGAGATGGAAAAAAGGGCAAAAAACCAAAGGGCAAACCGAGCCGAATCCAGAGGCTATCTTTGCTTTGCTTTTACCCTACAACTACATAGCCAAACCACAACTCCACACTGTACTTTACTGCTTTTACTTGGCCTCGCACTGCTTTTACTTAGCCTCCGCCCCTTTGCCACCCCGCCACCCCATTTTTTCTCGGCGGTGGCAGATGGGCCCCTCCCACTCCACACTCCCATTCCCAACCAAAAATTGGCTCTCTTCTCTCTTCTTCCATGCGTGCTTCCTCAGCATTTTGGTTCCCTGTCTATCTCTCGGTCTCCCTCCTTTTCTTTATCACTTATCACCTTTATGCTTCTCCTAGGTTCTCTCAAATGATTGTTCTTTTTCTCGTCTCTTCCCCAGATTCCCTTTCACAACATGACATTAATCTAGTTCTAGAATTGCTCTGTAAATGGAGTTTGTTTCTTCATTGTTGAATGAGTTATGTCATTCAAATGAACTATCGGATGAATAATAATTTAGATTCTGTTCTTATCATTAAGGAACTAAGTATTTTCCTTTCATTATAATAATATAGATTCGGTCCTTACCAGTAAGGAACCAAGTATTTTCCTTCCATTTTCCTTGTGGAAGGAAAATAACTATAAGGATAAAACTTGTCCTCACCACCGTTAAATGTTTGACAATTAAGATAGAAATATTTTTAAAAAATAAAAAATTACGAGTTGTCAATTTTTGAAGGGTGGCGAGTACACTTACTATTAAGGAGTCAAGTATTTTCCTTGGTAGAAAATCTACTTCTGCACTGACGAAAAGAAAAAGAAAAAGGACTTCATACCATAGTCGTCTATTCTCATTCATTTTACATATTTAAAATGAAAACTGACAAAGTTAATTTTGGAGAACGTCAGCAGGAAGATTAGGGCAGCCAAAGAATTCAAAATGACTTGCAAAATTGGAGAATATTCAACGTTTATGATTCATCATTAAAAACGATATATAATTAACAAAATGATAAATCCAAGCATGCACCCAGAAGGACTTTCCTGCCGCGCATGCCTTGCCAGTTAATTTCAGAAACCAAATTCCAACCGACAAATAAGAACACTCCTGCACCTCAAATCTGGATCCGGAACTCTACTCCCAATATTATTCAGACATGATTTCTATTACCAACAGTCACATACATGATTTCTGATACCAAATATAAATAAATTTAAAAAAAAAAAAAAGACAAAATTTGGGTTGTTTCCAGCAACCCTGACCTTCCATTGTGCAGATCCAACTCTCAAGCCTTAACCACAAATTTAAACTAGCAAATTGACAATTTTTTTATGTGGCATCAACAACTTTTAATAAAATAAGAACCAACATACATAGCAATCATGATGACCACTTTCCCTTAACCTGATGGCCAGCTAAAAATTGAAACCCACCTAGTTACTAGAAGACTGACTAAATAAATATATCTTAATAAGAACACAATGTTTACAAGTTGTTTTACAAACTGTTCGGGGAAAAAGTATGTATAAATAAGTAAATCTTAAATGGTATTATAAATCATTGATCTGTAATTTGTTCTCAAGAATGGTGTAAATTCACGACAATTGAGGTTATTCTTTACGAAACCAGAGGCTTGTAAACATCACATCTTTACCAACAGCATAACTCCCAAGTATGCCCCATGACTTCCCCCCATACTAAGTCAAAAACAAATTATTAAATATGATAGCAACTAGAGGATTGCTGATCAATTTAATCTTAAAAATTTGCTACTGAGTAGACAGATTAGGTAAAGATATGATATTGATAACCCAACAATGTCAATAATAGTGGCTAGCATTGAATTTGCAGTATATATGAATTTGGACGATTCCACTTACCCAGAATATTTCCTCCTCTCTTATTAACGCAATTTCCGGTCCAAGATATAACGAAGTTGACTCTCCAACTTGGAATCCCATATATTAGCATTGCTCAGGTTTCAACTCTGTAAACAATTTTTTCTGGAATCTCGTGCTCAAGTGGCCTGAAATTATAAACTCGAGATTGCAATCTCATCACCAGTTTACAATTGAGCTTGCAATTTGTAAGTCAACTCTGGCATAAGACATAATTGAAATCCATACATGATCGAGTTCCATTTTCTTTACATGTAATACAACTCATATCTTACATAGAACCCGTGAAGCGTGAAATAAAAAAGAAAAGCTGCTTGAATAAAGCATGAACTAATTCTACTTTTTATATACATACTCAAGGAGGCGGCGATCAAGGTCAAAATGTCTACAAAGAAGTCGCTGCAACAAAAAAATAACCAAGATATTAGAAATAGCCTCATCAGATCATGCAAAGAAGCTAATAACAACTCAATTTAATGCCTAATGGTCAAATGCAATGATAAGGAAAAATACTTGTTCATGTGCGTTTTAAATCATAGTCCCCTGAAATCCTTTGAACTATGAACTGTCCCCATAGAGGATATCGCTTTAAGAAGAAAGAAAGGCGGACTAACAGAGAGACTTTTCAGGAAGCTGCCCTAATACGTGATACCATGCAAACTCAACTAAAATAATACATGACATCCAAAAATATTAAAAACCATTACAAGAAGAAAGATACCTTAGTTATTGGAGGGTATGCTTTTAATTCAAAATCCAAATCTGGAAGGCGAGCAACCTCGGCTGCATTCTCAAATAAGATGTAGGAAGGAAGTTGATTCATACTTCCTATTAAGTTTATAACAGAGTATAAGACATTCTGATTGCGAAATCATTACAAAACTGAAATAAAACATTTAAGTTCAAATGAAATTCTAAGACAATTACCACCAAGTGATATTCCAAATTTCTCAGCAACATTCGGAAAGAGCCCAAGATCAACTACTCCAAATGATAGGTGTTTGTTTGAATATCTGCTTTTGGGCACATAAATACGTGTCTAAGCTACTTCAAGCGAAAAGTATGGTGATATGAATATAGAAAAATTTATCACTACATTAGAAAAAAAAATATCAGTGTTCCAAAACATGGAGCTAAACGAGATGTGCTAACGGGTGAAACTATACAGAAGTAACACAACTTTTTCTTTTTTTCTTTCTTCTCCTTTTTTTCTTTTTCTTTTTAATAATCGAAAGTCAGAGCTTTTCTCCCCTATACCCAAAGCAACACAACTTCAACCTATATAAACTCTTCTCTCCCCCTGAATCCATCCACACAGTAAAGAAAAAGTACTCACGTAACTGATAGGTCAGGCAAGCATCGACTAGAACGTATGCAGTCAGCTGAGAAGGAAACACGAAACTCTACCTAGCAATTTAAGTATGCCATCCGTCAAACATTGGAGAAAATCATTGAGAATGAGAGTTTTCAAACATGATATAATGATATACAGATCATATGCATTTGAACTTGATTTTCTGTAACAACATAATAATAGCTAAGAACTTAAAACTTGGAGTGAGGATTTGCAGCGGTGGATTTGTTATGTCTGGAAATAGGGTTAACCTCTGAGAAACCAAGTCAATCATTTCTCTTGAACTTCCAAAGAGAGAAGAAAAAAGAACTCAAGTTTATTTTGTCACTGGGAAAAATTAAGGAATCTTTGTACACACTAAATCACTCAACCGCTTGATCTTCTTCATCACAACATTAAACTATTTCCGAATAAACCAGGCTTCATATGTATAGATTATACATTCATAAAATTCAAAAAGCTGGTACTATTTCAAGTTCCTTCTTTAAATTATTCATACTGTGTAGTCTGACTAATAAATTCTCCTATATCAGTTCTGTACTCTCTCTCCTTTTAAGCTTTGTAGCTATGAATTAAAAATTATTTTAAAAGTAAATTAAGCTTCCTGCCTTGGAATTTTGCGACCTGCTCTGTCAAGTTGAATTGAAAACACCTACTAGCACTGCGTTTAGTTTGCATTAGAGAATAATTGCTAGAAGAGAAGTGTACTATCTCAAAAATTCATAGCAGCAGAAGTATAGATAAAGAGACTGTAGAATGAACCAGCCATAATCTTGACTTGTTCCCCTCAGTCAGCAAGGTTTCCAGCTGCAATGGAGTTAACTTACTACAGGTACCTAAAGAAGCAAATTTTACAAGAAAAGAAAAGGCAATATTTTGTAAGTCGCGTTAGCATATAATTTACTAGATTTGCAAGGCAGTTAATTTAATTGAATAAAACTTTCGTAAGATCCTAGGAAAGTGAAAAAAATTGGAGGGTAAACTTAAAATTCATTTCAAACCTGACCCTTGGAAGACAGGTTGCTGAGTAAAAACGTATATCCCTGTGTAGAAGGAACAGGAAATAGCAAACTCTTACATCACAATTGATCAAACTATCAGGATTGGTTCTTAGCCAGTCAGTAAATTTATGAGCACTATATAGATTAAGACCGAAAAAGAATACCTTACCTGTAAATACAATTACGTACCAAATTGCAAGATGATAATCCATCATAGAAGTGAGGGCAACGAGAAAAACCTGAACAAATTGCAGCTAGGTCAGTGGATCACTGAAGAAAGATATAAAAAGAAGGGTCAGCTACAACCGAATATAAGGGGAATGAAACTATAGGAACCTCAATCCTCTAAGTGCAGTACGGTAACACAAGGTCCACATTTAGCTTGACATAGATGTCAAATCAATTTTCATCATAAAAAACTTGTTAATCCACGACGAAGGCAAGTGAATACCTTAACAAACAATAGCATATCGGCAATAAAGGCCTCCGGCGTCTCTTGTCTCACCATCTGCCGAGAAAAGAGAGTGCAATAGATAGTACCAATTAGGTGTTCAAGCATCTCTTGAGAACTAATTTTCAGATTTACTAAATTTGAGTTGGCGGTAAATCTAACTGCTCTGAAACACAATGATTCAATCAACTCTGTCCACCCTTACAAAAATTAAACAAATAAATGGCAATGATATGGGAAACATGTACAAAATATAAGTAAATGTTGAAGGTGGAAGATACCTTGAACATATAGAAAATAAGAAATACGAGA